TGTAATATTAGGTTGTTTACTTGAAAGTTTTCTTAAGGTAGACCTGCAATGCTATAATTGTTTCTCTTAGAACAGGTTTTGCTGCATCCCCCAAATTTTGGACCATTGTGTTCTCATTTCCATTTGTCTGCATATACTTTTTAATTTTGTGAGTTGACTCATTTCTGAGTTAGTAGCATGTTATTTAGTTTCCATGTATTTGTGTCCTTTCCAGATTTTTTCTTGTGATTTCTTTCTATTTTCATATTGTTTTTGGTCAGAAAAGATACATAATATTATTTCAGTCTTTTTGAATTTATTGAGACTTCTTTAGTGACCTAACATGTGATCTCTTTTGGAGACATTCCATGTGTACTTGAAACAAATGTGTATTCCACTGCTTTTGGATGGAATGTTCTGAATGTATCTGTTAAGCCCAATTGATCCAATGTGTCATTCAAGGTCACTGTTCCCTGGTTGATTTTCTGGCCAAATGATCTATCCATTTATGATATAAATGGAATGTTAACATCATCCACTATTATTGTACTCTTGGCAGTTTCTTTTTTTATATCTGTTAATAGTTGCTTTATGTATTTAGGTGCTACCATGTTTGGGTGCATAAATAGTTACAACTGTTATACCCTCCTGCTGGATTGTTCCTTTTATCATTATGTAATGTCCTTTGTCTCGTTACAGTCTTTGTTTTCAAGTCTACATTGTCTGATACAAGTATTGCTAACCCATCTTTCTTGTTGTTTCTATTTGTATTATAAACATTTTTCCATTCCCCACGCTTTCAATTTATATGCATCATTAGGTCTGAAATGAGACTCCTATAGGCAGCATATAAATGATGATCTTGCTCTTTTATCCATTCAGTCACACCATGTCTTTTGATTGTTGCATATAGTCCATTTACAATTAAAGTAATTTATTGATAGGTATGTACTTATTGCCATTTTGTTACTTGTTTTATGCTTGTTTTTATAGTTATTCTGTTTCGTTCTTCTCTTGCTCTCTTCCCTTGTAGTATGAGAGCTTTCTTTCATGTTATACTTGGATTCTTCCCTCTTTATTTTCTGTGTATTTATTATAAATAAATGTGTATTATAAATACAATTTATACAAATACAAAATATAAATACAAATATAATTAATGTGTATAATAAATTTGTGTATTATAAATACACAAATTTTTATTTGTAGTTACCATTAGGTTCATATGTAACATTTTACGCATACAATAGTCTATATTAAGTTGTTGGTCACCTGTGTTTGAACTCATTCAAAAAGCAATAAATTTTTACTCTCCCTCCATGTTTTATATATATGATGTCATATGTTACATCCTTCTATTTGTAAATCCCTTGACTGATTTTTATAGATGTAGTTGATTTTACTGCTTTTTTCCTTTAACCTTGGTACCCATTTAATAAGTGATCAATCTATTGCTTTTATTACATTTGCATTTTCCTGTGAATGTCTTTTCCTTTCATAATTTTTTCATTCTTGACTATGGCTTTTTCTTTCCACTCAAAGAATTCCCTTTAATGACTCTTAGAAGGCTAGTTAACTTTTTCCCGGTAAACTCCTTCCCTCTTTCTATTATAAATTATAACCTTATTGGACATAGTATTCTTGGTTGCAGATTTTTCCTTTCAGTACTTTGAATAATCATTCCACTCCCTTCTGGCTTGCAAAGTTTCCAAGGAAAAATCAGCAGATAGCCTATGAAGTTCCTCTTACTTGTAACTATTTTTTCTCTTGCTGCCTTTGAGATGTTTTGTCACTACTTTTTTGCCATTTTAATATTATGTGTCTTGGTGTGAACCTCCTTAGGTAATTTCACTGAGGGCTCTCTGTGATTCCTGAATCTGTATTTACTTCCCCAGATTTGGAAAGTTATTGTTTTATTTCTTCAAATAAATTTTCTGTGCCATTCCCTCTTTCTTCTCCTCCTTCTGGGATCCCTACAATGTGAACATTATTACATGTGACGGTGTTGCTAAATTCCCTTAACCTAGTCTCATTTTTTATTATACTTTTTTGATTTTACTATTCAGCCCAGTTGCTTTCCTTTTACCCTGTCTTCTAGGTCACTGATCCATTCTTCTGCCTCCTCTGATTTTCTATTGACTCCCTATAGTAATGTTGTTGTTGTTTTAAATTTCAATTTGATTTCTATATCTCTGACTGGTTCTTTTTTATATTTTCATTTTGTTGAAGGTCTCACTGAGATTCTCTACTCTCTTCTCAAGTCCAGTGAGTATCTTTATGACCATTACTTTGAATTCTTTATCAGACATATTGCTTATCTCCGTTTGATTTAGATCTTTTGTTGTGGTTTTGTCCTGTTCTTTCATTTGGGATATATCTCTTTATCTCATTTTGTCTTACAATCTGTTGGTTTCCATGTATTAAAAAAGTCAGCTACATTTCCTCCTCTTGAAAGTCATGGCCTTATGAAGAAGAGGTACCTATAGCACTGTGCTTCCTATTCATCAGAACCATGCACTTCAGGGGTATGTCCTATGTGGGTTGCATGTGCCCCACTGTTCTTAAGCCACATTTGCCTTCAGTTCTTTAGGCTGCAATTGCCCACTTTGCCAGTTGTAGTTTCAGCAGGTAGGGTTTTGCCTACCTGTTAAGGGGCCAGTTTGTGGCTTCTATTGGGTAGTGTCAACAATCAGGCCAGATATCTGCCTTCAGCCCATCTGCTGGGGCTGGTTGAACTGACCTTCAGGGCAGTTTCCTTTCCTTGTCCCCTGACAGGTTTTCATTAGTGGTTGGGGTTAGCAGTCAAACCAGATGGTTGTTCCCAGTCCGTCTGTTGGAGATTCAGTCACACTGACCTGCAGGGCACTCTCCTTGCCTTGTCCCCTGAGAGGCTTTCATTTGTGGGCAGGACCATAAGTCAGCACAGATGCCTGCCCCCAATCTATCTGTCAGGACTGCAGTCACAATGATTGGCAAGGCACTGTCTCTGCACTGCTAACTATAAAGTTCAGCTGCTGGGGCTGTGGACTCGCTATTGTCTATGGTTATCTTCCCCATTCCGCAGGGCAGGAGTCACTATAAAATGGTGCCAGTCACTGCCAGGACAGCTTGCAGGGTGTGTTGGGGCAGGAAGTGCTTTGGAGACATGTCTACCGAATGGGGCTGATCCTCAGGAGAACGCAAGGGCAGGGTGCTTAGTGCTAGCAGGATAAGAAGAAAGTATTTGTGCTGGTTCTGCAAGTGTCCTGCTTTCTAGGCTACGGAGGGGGAAAAATGGAACCTAACACCTCTTTTGTTCTTGGGAGAAGTCTCCTAAGGATCCTAAGATACCTGCCCCTCTAGCACTTGTTCTTATATTAGTAAATAAATCTTTATGGACATCCACATGCTTTTCAAACTGTTCAACCACATTACTTCTTATGCTGGCTCTTTAAATGCAGGTGCTCAGTTTCCTATCAACCTCCAGCTCTCTCAGAGCTAAACCTGCTAATTTTTCAAAGGAAGAATTAAGCCCTGCTGATTGTAAAAACTCCCAAATTTAAGCCCCACTAGTTTTCAAAACTTAATGTTATAGGGAGCCATTTTCTCAGTGTCGTGCCTGGGGTGCCTGTGTGGAGTCTGATCTCTCACTTCTCTGTGTTGGTGATATGCCACCCCTTGGGTTAGTCTCACAGGGGATCTGGCTCCCAACCATGTCTCTGCCCTTCCTACTCTTTTCGATGTGGCCTCCTCTCTACAGCTAACTGTGTAAAGTCTGTTCTGTCAGTCTTCAGTTCATTTTCAGAGTTAGTTGCACTGATGTGGCTGTTATCTTGGAGTGACTGTGGTACAAACTGACCTCAGGATCCTTCTATTCTGCCATCTTCCTGGATCATATTTCTTTGGTCTTTCTTACTCTAGTTATACTCATAACTTTTCTAATCTTCTCGGATAGCCACATTTTTTAAGAGTCCAGGTAAGTTGACTTATAAGTAGCCACAATTTGGCTTTGTCTCATTGTTTATTTACAGTTAGATCTAATTAATCATTTTGGTAAGAAGTCAACATGGGCGATGTGCACTTACCACTGTGTTACAGTGAAGCAACTCCTATTCCATTACTAGCCTGACCACTTGGTTAAGGCATTGCTGGCACTCTCTACACTCATAGGACCAGTAATAGCTTGAAACTCAAGGAAGCTGTACTGTGCTCACACAGAATATGTTAAGAAATGCTTGTAATGACATTAGCAAACAAGTGTGCTAAAGGCCATTACTTCATATTATCTCAGTATTTGATTTTCTTTTCCAAATGCAACACGCCAATAATTTTAAACAGAGGATCCATGTTCATATGAAGGGTGTAATTTTCAAATCAGAAGTACATGTATATGTCTCACCTTCAGAAAATTAACATTCAGAAGCCTAATCTTAATAATGGTTAAAATGTATTACTTCTGTGTGTCAGGACACACATATTGGATGTTTTCCATATATAACAAAGAAGATATTTTGTATTGTAATGGGACTTTTAACTTTATAAAGTAATTATCTGACTTACAACTAGATTTAACAAGTGATAGATCCCTCAATGAATTGCAGTGGGGAAAAATACTAAACTAGTAGGGTGCAGTAGGGGGTGTCCGGGCTCTGGCTCTATCATTAACTAGTTGTGTATTTTTGGATAAATCTGTTAACCACCTGGGCCCAAGTTTTATCATCTGCAAAGTTTAATCAACCATTAATCCCTCTGATCGAAAGCAAACAACTCAATGAGAACGGGCAGATAATTCTGCCAAAAACTAATGATGATTTAAAAACCTACAGAGGAGAAACATTTTGGTCACAAGGTCATTAAACTATTAGTACTAGTCTAGCGTAAATCCTTAGGAAAACTTAAAATTTGTTTAGATGCCTTGAGCAATCACAGGTCACACACAGTGAGTCAGCAGCAGAGCCTAAAAGATAGCTGCTCAATTCACTGTGGGCCAACAAAACCCTATTACTCAGACTTAGTTATTATAAGAACACACACCAGCTTACCTGTATGCCAGAGCCAAAGCCCAGGCCCCAGCAGCACAGTACAGACTGTCATGGATTTTTGCCTTCTGGTCATCACCGCATGTTTTAGTGGGAAAGAGACCTGTGGTTGGACTTTGATATAGCAGCAATGTTGACTTGACTGGAATGGAAGACAAGAAAAAGAATGAATTGTACAGCCATCCATTTTCCTTGGGCTGAAGAACTTAATATTCTTTCATTTCCTCATCCTACTTCTGACAATTCTGTTGTTCCTAAACTTACCAATAGTATACAACTTTTTAGGATAGTGAAATTACTTCATGTAAGTCACTCCAGCACAAGTAGGAATCTACTCTGCAGGAAGAGTATTTCCACTTTTGAGGACTAATTAAAAAGCTTTTAGCATAACCTACTTAATATTAGTGTTATAAGACAACATCAGTTGTTGAAAGAAAGAAAGAAAAAGATAAATATCTTTTTACTATTGTTTTCAACAATAAGTTCAACAGAGAAACAAATGTACAACATAGAGTGGCATTAATTGCCAAATCCAGTTAGCTCCACTGCTAAATAAACCTAATCTTGTTTTTCACTCATAACTAATTTGTGCCTAGCCTTCAGAGGAATGTGTTCATTTTACATATTATACTATACAAGCTATAGATATGTTTATCATTTTAAAACCAAATCCTATCCTCAGATGACATGAAAAAATTAAATAATTACTTTGAGAACATTTTAAATAAAAAAAATCTGAAACTAATGTCTTATTACCTTTCATAAGAGTTCTAAAATATAAAAATACACAGAGTAAAATTACATTTCCTAAAAGCTATTTTATTCGTAAATGTAAATGTTTTTCACCAAAATGCATTAAATTACTCTAATCTAGATTGACATATATCAATTACTTTCAGGAGAGTTTTTCAAAGGTCTAAAGCATTCTCCTCTTTCACAGGAATTAAAGAATTAACTTTCTTCTTTTTCTCAGACAAACCTGACATTATCATTAACATTTTTTAGAGTGTCAGGGTATTTTTCATTTTTCCCAGAGAAAAGAATTAGTCCTTAAAATCTAAAGTAAGTAACTGACATTTCTTTAAAAAGGTATTTAAATTTCTTTATCTGGTTATGGTCACAATGATAATAAATGGGCCACATAAGAATATATTCTAGAATTGTGACTAAAATAAAATGAATTAAGGTTTTACACGAGGTTAACACAAACAGCAACAAAAAAAATTCTCATATTTGGGAAATAAATAAATTAAATTTTACATAAATGGCACAAGAAACAAACTGGCAAAAATTAATAGGCTTTTCCAACTTACAGTCTGATGAACCAAGAGGCGTCCCATGCATACATATCTCAAAGTTGCTTACTCACACTAAAAAGCAAAAATTGCCAGGGTATTCTTGGCAAAACAAAACATCAACAAAACCGGGACCTAATGTTAGTAATAGTAACCTGAGATTATCTTTTGTGTCCCAAAGAATTAGTAATAGATTATAAAAGCTTTAGAACTACTTGGAAACCATGTATGGATAAATGAGTAAGTAAGGAATACTTCTACAAAATCTTTATGTAAGTAGTAACCAAGAAACAGCCTCCAGTTCTCAAATCTAGTAATGTTTAAGAGTGCTAAAAAGACACAGAGGACATTGGTAACAGTTTTAACGTTTTTCAAGGGACAGATATGACCTGCTGAAATTCTTTTATAGTCCCAGTATCAACATCCAATTGGAATATATAGCTACCTAAGCAATGAAACTATCCCCACATCCAAATGAGAGATCATGTACATAACATCTACATAAGGCAGAGTAAATACTTATCCTAACGAACTAAGGACATGTATTCCTCAAGTTTTCCTTACCAATTCTGTAATAATGATCCAATTTATCCCACAGAGTTTCATTATCAGGTCTCGGAAGATTAATGCTTTTCAGAGGTTCATAAACTGAGTCTAAAAGAAAAATGAAAACCCATCAAATTCAGTCATTTCCACCAAGATAAACAAAACTCCTAAAGAAATGAAAAAGCACTAATCTAATTTTCATTTTTATGTGTGAACTAACACATTATATTACTGGTCAAATGTTTGGTGGGGGAAGGAGAGAGAAGAAATTGTCCTTGTAACAAGTATAGAAGGGTTCTAAATGTTATGGGAATGTCCCCTGCCCCCTAACACCTGGCAGTTACTCTAGCTAATTCATATATATACTGGTCCCAACAACCCAAATACCAATAATATTTATATGATAGTCCCTAGTTCAATAATTTCAGTTCCCTTTGAGAAATATCTACTTAAATGCCCTAAAATCCAAACCATGTTTTATGCTCATGATCAAGCAATTTTCTGCCAAATGATTATATCCCAAAAACCTCAAGAGAAAAGATAATACTGACATGTTCCAAACTCATCCACTCCATGAATATTCAGATAGTTTTCATACTAAAATTCTGAAGCCTCCACTTCCTCCTAGGTAGATAAAACTCCTGCCTTATTATCTGTACAAAAGCAGAAACCATTTCTACTTCTCATCCATAAAAACTACTCCAAGGTATTAGCAGAGCATACTGCTCAAAAACTGCAGAATACATAATAATTATGATAATTTGCCACAAAATAAATACAGAAAATTGTTCACTTGACTGGTGCACATTCTCAAATGCTGACTGAAAGGAAGACATCTGAACCTTCAGACATCAGACTAAGTACTATCTCTCATTCTTGTTAAAAGCACTCAGAAATTACAAACATCTCAAGGTCACAACTGATCCACAACTGGATTCAGGTAATGTACATCATATAATCTAACCACATAGCACAAGAGTGGCCCTAAAATTTACCTTGGGGTCAGAATGGGGGATGTGTTGGCTGCATTAAGAATCTGTTTTTAAAGAAAATAAAAATTGCTATGTCCAGTATGCTAGTATAAAGCCAAAGCATTTGGAATCCTTTATGTTAAGGGAGATAATAAACAAGGAGGTAAGAAAAGGATCTATGTATTAAGGCAATAACCTCATTAACTTCTGTTGGAAAGAGAGATGATTTGTGCATAAGATCAGGAATATGAAATGACTTCCTCTAAATGAAGAGATTTTCTAAAAAAGAATCTTCACAATGACATCAACCAGAATTGCCCCATAGGGAAGAATGGGAAGACCTATCAACATAGACAGGAAAGCATTGGGACTCCAGCACAAGAGGCCAGGGACCGGCCATGCCCTCTGCCTCCCTGCATTCAATAGCTCTGGGTAGGTGTAAGTATATGGGCAGCCTGGCAGCTGGGAAAAAAATAATATGGCTACTGCTTACACATTAGGTGCTAAGCTCTAGGAGTCTACACACTTTCAGTGAAGCTCATACAATAATTAATAAAATAAAATCAGGTACGAATCATCACAAGTTTGAAATTGCAATACATATATATAAAGATTAAAGGAGATACCTTTGCTGGGGTAGCTGGACTGTGGATGAATGATATTTCCATTATTTAGAGCTCTATCATTAGAAGAACTAATATTTTACTTTACATAAGAAAAATAACATTACCAGAAGTTATATATATTTTCATTATATATAGGTAAACAATACATGTGCATACGGATAAAAATTGAAATAGAATATATAAAATTGAAATCCACCTTTATCTACCATAATAATTTTGAGTTTATTTTGAAAGACTGTTTAAATGACACCGTATCTTGGTTTTTAGGGTAAAAAATATATATTTTTAAAAGTGCCATTACATTTAAGGTGCCCCTCAACTGCCCAAAAAAGACTAAAATGACTGTGTCCTCTAATGTTTATCAATAAAATCACTGTTGGGAGTTTCTTAAAAACAACAAAAAATAAACAAAAGGAAAACCAGACTTTTCAGGACAATAAATACCAATGGAGTAAGGGCTAAAAAAGATGTTTAAACATAGCAAAAAAGCATAAAAGCAACATCACTAAGAATCAATATTTTCTTATACCTTCTTATATCTTCAAGAAAGCTCAAGGTGAATTAAGAACAGCTTACCTAAATAAATGTTAATACTTTAGTGATCACCACTGTATTGCTTCTGAAGTAACTGCATAAAATTAAGCAAGATATCCCACACAATTTATGGCAAACAGTACCACAAATCTGAAGTCAAAGGAAAAGTAATCAATGGTAACATTTTAAACAAGAATTAGACACCTGAAAAGCTTCAGTGCAAATAAAAATGTGGAGGAGAAAGCAATCAATAGAGCATGAATTTCCAAAGACAATGAGAAAGATGCAAAATAACAAAAAACACTAATAAATGTTTAGAGTTCAAAATGAAATGAAGCCTTTAAATGTAAATTTTTCCTCTTCATGTTTTTCCCATTTGAATTATGCCTATATTCAAACACCACAAAGTAAAATAAAAATGATCATTTTTCTAATTTGTACAATGAGTTTAAACATGTCAATCTGATTTTTTACCTGTCAATTATCTTGGTATTAGAAAAATACAACCAATCTACCCTTTATTTCAGAATATGTTATTGCCAAAGACATTCACTGACAAAGAACAATACAAGAGGCAGAAGTTATTTGTTGAAGAGTAATATTCCAGCTTTATCATGTAAGAGGAAAAGGTTATTTAAAAGATTAAACAAAGAATTTCCTAAGAAATTTCCATGAGACAAAAACAATACCAAGAATGAGTATAACCTTAACAAAGGTACAAACTTTCTGAATTGGGCACTATAAAACACCAAGGTTTCCGAGTGTTATGGGGGAGGCTCTTAAGCAATCACAAAGTAGAACTGGTAATTCAAGCAGCAAACATTAAAAGAATAAAAATGAGGACTCAAAAGAGAAGTCAGGGTGAAAAATGGATCAGCAAACCAAGATAATTTCAATACTTAATTATTTGGGCATACAATTTTTTATTATATGATTGAAAGCCCTTTAATACTGTACATACATAAAAGTTATTAACCAAGGCTTTGGTGAACCCTTAAGTAGCTTTACCCTTTTTCCATATGTGGTGATAGAGTAAGATAAATATCATTATTTATTCTTTTAATTATATGCATTGTATACATAAAACCCTGGATCAGATATCCCAATAGGCTACCAGGACCCACAGATTAGTAGAAAAGGTAAGATAACGTTTGGAAGAAGAGTAATAGAAATTAGAGTGGTGAGTTCCTTAAAAGACAGAGAATAGGAAAATTCAGTGACCCTGTCGGGCTGAGAGAACAGGAAATTCCTACACTGCAATCTTTAAAAATAAAAGCAATTTCAAATAATGCATTACCATCTGAAAATGAAGAAAACAACTGAAATCTAGAACATGAAGTCATAAACATATATACTTGCAGACATACTATCATAGCTCTAAAGCTTCTACACATCTTATGAAACAAGATACTACATATCAAGATTTTTTTTTTTAAATGATACACATGAAAAGACATATAGCTAACAGGGTAAATTATATTGAACACTGATCCAAGTATGTTCTTTCATGAGATAGAGAATTTTATTATAAACCAAAATCCTTAGAAAGGGTACAGGATTCTGATTTTCTCCCTCAATTAAAATAATTTCTTTTCAGATTAAAAAAAATCTAACATTTCATCACCCTAAAACAGGCACAATTAATATTTTGGTACATTCCTTTCAGGCATTTTTTAAGCAATATATATAAACATAGACAAAATTTACCACATGTGGACTCATAACATACATGCTCTTTTTTATCATGGACACTAGTCCTTTCCTCCCTTATTTCACTTCTTGCCCTTTTATGTCCTCATTCCCAGGTAAACATACTTTTTCCTTATTTATATAAACAAATATATATCCATAAATGAGGGAAGAGTCTTTTCATTGTCTGTTTTATAAAAATAGGGTCATGAAATAGACCTTTCCTTGCTTTTTGCTCCTCCCATTTGACAACATACGTGGAAATCAAAAAAGGCAATGATTCTTTGACTGCTATATATTTCCAGGGTTTTGACACAATACATTTTATTCAATTATTCTCCTATCAATGAGTATATAATTTTCTATTTTTGCCATCATAAAAAATCCTGCAAAACATCATAGCCAGTAGTATCCTAGAAGCAACTAATACTGGCTGATAGACTGTTAAATTTTCATGAATTTGGGAGCTGGTTATGAAACACATAAATGAAAATGAAATTTTAAAAACTTATAGCTGAATAATTATTAAAAACAAAGGTAATAAGTCAAAATTCATCATTTCCTGCATAGGAGCACATGTACCCCAATGTTCATAGCAGCACTCTCAACAATAGCCAAAACACAGAAAGAGCATAAGTGTCCATCAACGGACAAATGGATCAAGAAGATGTGGTTTATCTATACGATGGAATACTACCAGGCAATTAGAAGGAATGAAATCTGGCCATGTGTAGCAACATGGATGGACCTTGAGGGTATTATGCTGAGTGAAATAAGTCAGGCAGAGAGGGACAAATACCATATGTTTGCACGTATAGGAGGATTAGGAGGAACTTAAAGGAGGACTGTGGGGGAGAAGATGGGGGCAAACAGTGGGGGAGGGGGAGAGAGGCAAACCATGAGAGTCTCTTGAATGCTGAGAACAAACTGAGGACTGATGGGTGTGGTGGGGGAGGGGGCAGATGGGCATGGAGGAGGGCACTTGTGGGGATGAGCACTGGGTGTTATATGGAAACCAATTTGACAATAAACTATTTGTAAATAAATAAACAAATAAAATACTATGTAATGTTCAAAAAAATTTTCATCAATTCCTAGTTTTACATTTTACTATTATATATGCTCTTGAATTGATTTATGCCTATAGATCTATACTTTGAAAATACCATATAAAGTTACAACACATCTCTTTCCAACTTTTAATTCAGTGATGTCATGTAGATTTGAGTAGCTGTGACAAAAAACAAATGGTCTGCAAAGGCCTAAAATTTTTACCATCTTGCCCTAT